CCCAGCCCTTCCCGCGCCTCAAACGGTTGTACTCTTACAGCAGTTACGGGACGGCACCGATCCTTGGCAATTGTCGTAATTACTGACTCCCGACCGACCGACCGACCGCGGTTGCAGCCGTTAGAACTGGCTGCTTAAACTATCGGCCATCTCATCTCCACTGTTTTCAGTCAGATCCTCCCCGCATCCGCGTCAGTACCAGCCTTGTGGGCATTCGCGTGAATGCCAGCTCCACATCCCCCTCCCTCCCACCCTCCCCCGCCCGCACAAACTAGTGGAATAGTGGCAAATGTTTGCCACTTACTGCTAGTTGCCGGATCGGAGCATTTTAAAGGTTTTCGGATCCGAGATTTAGGGTTATGATCATGGTTCTGCTGTGCTAAGGAAAAACGTCGTATGAACATTCAAGAGATTCCAAATTTTCTCCGATAAAATGTTTATTTTTCAGGAGAGGTATGAAAATTTTTTCTTGAAATTTTCAGATGATTTAGATCTGACCGTGAATGAAATTCTGTGAAAAGTTGTAAGAAAAACATTCACGTACAGATTTCCCAAAAATTCGTATTTTATCAAAGGAAGTTAGACAACGTCTAAAGGCTCATACGGCGTTGTTCCTTAGCACGGCAGAGTTTTTCCTTAACCAGCGAGCTGATTGTTGAAATTTATAGACAAAGCTATAGACAAACAAGATAAAAGGGATATGGGGGCATCCTATTGGTGGAAGCAGGTGGTTAAAATGGACGAAGGAAGCAGTTAATAGACTAACTAACGGCAACCCATTGGTTATAGTCCATCATTTTCTCCCTTAGTCAATAAGAACCACACATTTCTACATTTCTACACATTTCCGCTCCATACCTCTTGTGTCTTCTTTGTCTATTTCTTTGTCCATAAATTTCAGTCCTCACGCTCCTTTCCTCAAAAGGCCCAATTTCGACGGTCAAAGTGTGGAACCACGTATCTCCATTGCTGTGTTTCAAAATTGCCACTCCTGTTTTATTTTTTGTAGAAGCAAAGAGCAGCTCTCTGAAAGTTGAATCCATATCACATAAAATGACGTCACTCAATTCTCCTTCGTCTTATCCTATTTGATCATTCTCGAAATAATAAGAACAACAAAACTCAATCCGTGAAGGAACCTTGTTTCCGGTTCATCCTCTGTGCATATTTTCTGACGTCATTCATTCCAATTGTTTCTCTTCGGTGGGCCGTACATAAATCAAAAAGTCAAGCACCGTTGCTCGCGAAATATCCGTGTGTGTGGTGTTTTCAAAGCAAACATTGAGAATTCGAGGATTTCGCGTGTCATCCGAGGGTGGACACGACCTACGAAAAATCGCCCAAAATCGCCCTCAGGCCAAGAATTCTGACTTAGGAAAAACCGCATGACTACATTTGGTTTCCATTCGAGTTAGGTGGTTTTTAATATTGTGGAGCTGCACGCATCATTGCCTCGCCGGCCGTGCATCCGCCATCGCTGGAGATGGACGTCCAATTTAGCCCATTTCCGAGAGACGGCTCCAAATTCTGGATCCCGTTGCCGCGTTAATTTTATTCCTAATTTATGAGCTGCGTTTTCCTCGACCGGAGAGGTAAGATCACGTCAAGATCCTCGTGGCCCCCGGTCAACGGCGAGCCGTTTGACCGATAAAATTCGACCCGAGGAATCCTCGACATGCGAATCTTGACCTTTACCCGTGTAAATTCTGAATTGGTTCCTTTCAGACTGAGCAAATTTATTTGTGTTACGAATGAGAGCATTCTCGGAGCATGCCGTAAAGTTTTTTGAGTCATTGTCCTGGGTAGGTTGCCCGAGGCCCTTGAAATTAAGACGGTTAGTCGTAAAACGCAGTACATTCTACTATCAAAGCCGAAAATTGTGTTCGTTTTCTTGCTGGAACAGATCTGCATGAACACCGGAAGCGCTGCTTCCCAAAATAAATTGAGAGTTTATTATTCTTTAAATTGTATTTATTATTTATTATTTATCATGTAGAGACTCGAATAGAAACACAAAGCTAGTTCTAAAATCTCGTCGGGTATGTAATCTTCCAGATATCAATTTTCAATTTATCTGACTACAACATAAGATATAAATCCTCGAACATCTAACTAAGTCAGGATTGAAGATTTTTAACGACATACATAAAAATTGAAGGGAATAAATGTAGCCGCTACGTTTTCAGTTGGAATATGTTACTACGCTGGAACTGAAAGTCACCTCTGTGTACGAAAAAAGTGAGCATCAATGATAGTTTTGTTTCTATCATTGCAATAATATAACACGCAATGTGGAAACAAAAGAAATATTGAGTTAGAGTTAATTTTCCAGGAAGAAAATTAGTAAAAGTTTCGTACGCAGTACCAAAAAAAAAAAATCATTAACGGTGGAAATTATGTCCATTTTAC